GGTACACTATTTACAGTATTATTAGCATTAATATTTACTTGCTTTCCTAAAAGAGTTTACTTTTTTGTTATATTATTTTTAAGTGGTTATAACTTTTTTAGTTATGAGTATCCATATAGATCTGGCCTTGTAACCCCTTTTGTGTTTTTACTTCTTAGTCAATGCTGATCCGTATCCCCAGGGGGGATAGGATATAGCTATAAAACTAAGAAGGGAAGCGATCCTTTGAATAAAAGATTATATAGTACGGAATCTAAAAATTCAACCTTATCTCCTTATTGAGTAACAGGTTTTACTGATGCTGAGGGTAGTTTTAGTCTTAAATTATCAAAGAGTAGTTCTACACGTTCAGGATATAATGTAATACCTGAATTTAAAATAGAGTTACATAATAGAGATATCTTATTACTAAGAAAAATTCATACTTTTTTTGGGTTAGGTACAATTAGGGAGTATGCAGATAAAAATAAGGCAAGTTATAGTGTCCAATCCGCTAGAGATATGGCTAAAAAAATTATACCTCATTTTGATAAATACCCTCTATTGACTCAAAAAAGAGCAGATTATCTCTTATTTAAAGAAGCAATAAATTTACTTTTAACAGGTAAAGCTCGCTCTAGTATTGAAGGTATGTATGAACTTATAAATCTTAAGGGGTCTATGAACAGAATGTTGTCAGATAAATTAAGAATTAATTTCCCTAATATTAAATGTGTACCGCGTTTAGTAGTAGATATATATGATATTAAAGATCTAAACTGATTAGCAGGATTTGTAGATGGAGAGGGTTATTTTTATGTAAAATCACTAAAAAATCAAAAATATACAACAGGTTATAGTGTTAGTTTGGTTTTCTCGATTACTCAACATCAGAAAGATGAAGTTTTACTAAGAAAATTTATAGATTTATTAGGGTGTGGAAGTATTGAGAAATGTTTCAATAGACCAAATGAAGTTAATTATCGTGTAAGTAAATTTAGTGACATTAAGGATAAAATAATACCTTTTTTCCAAAAATATCCTTTACAAGGTCTAAAATTTAGAGATTATTTAGATTTTATGAGAGTATCAGATATTATAGCAGTTAAAGATCATTTAACACCCGAAGGTGTTAAAAAGATAAATTCAATAAAGTCAGGTATGAATAGAAGTAGAGAGATTAACTATTAATACTTACTTTTATATATAACAATAAAGTAAACTATGAAGGCTTTTATTTAAAAGTATATATAAATTATTAGATATTATATATTTTTAGGTATTTCAACTAAGTAGATTGCATGGAACTCTTAAAGTTAAAAATTTAATTAAGGTTAATTTTAATTTAAAGATTATATGCAGCCTAATCTTATTTATAGTTACATATGATTTATAATAAGGTAGGTTCAACGACTCATATATATATATATAAAGTTTTTACACTAGTATAACAAAGGTTACTTTGTTTATATAAATTAAGTGGTCTTTATATATTTAAAAACTTAGATGTGTATATAGCAATATTATTGCGCATAAGAAATAGTCTGAGCAATAATGAAAATTATTGAAAATGTTATAAAAGATAACATGTAACACTTTTTGTTCAAGGAATAGAATATAACGTATCATCATTCACAATAAGTGACGGTGTATTCGGAACATGTTTCTTTTTCGGTACAGGGTTCCTAGTTGGAGCCCCTAATTTATTTAACAGAAAGATGAAAAGCTTAGTTTACAATATAGACTCTTTAAAAAAGTATTATACAAAATTAAGCAATAAACAAGGTAGCTTAGAACCTTATTGAATAACAGGATTTTCAGATGGAGAAGGATCTTTTTCATTGAGAACAACAATAGATAAATCAAGAAGAATAAATGTTAGAGTAATACCTATTTTTTCTATAGAATTACATATTAGAGATATAGAAGTCCTAAATAAAATTAAAGATTATTTCAAAGTAGGATCAGTGCAACTAAGATTAAAAGATAATAAAGAAACAGGTATTTACGCAGTAAATTCGGTTAAAGAATTAACTACTGTAATTCTTAGCTAGCGCACTCATTTTAAAAAATACGGCGCCAGCTCTTAATCACTCAGAAACAAGCTGATTTTATCCTGTTCTCGGATGCAATTAATCTAATTAATAGTAAACAACATTTGACTGAACAAGGTATACTAAAAATATTATCTATAAAAGACTCTATGGGTAAAGGTTTGGGTAATCATATAAAAATACTATACCCTAACATAGTTAAATCTATAAGACCTGTTATTGATCAACAAACTATTAAGTCTGTTTGATGATTAATAGGGTTTGTAGATGCTGAAGGATGTTTTTATATTAAAGTAGCTAAATCCAACCAAGTTTCTTTATCTTTTTCTTTAAGTCAACACTCAAGAGATACTTACTTATTTACTATAATAAAAGATTATTTAAATTGCGGTATTCTAGAAAGTCCACATACAAGAGAAGATATAAGGTTACAAGTATATAGTTTAAAAGATTTAATACAAAAAATTATTCCTCTTTTTGAAGATACTCTAGTTAGTCAAAAACAAGAAGATTTTAATAGATTTAAAGAGGTATCTTTATTAATGTCTAATAAAGAACACCTTACAGAAGAAGGTCTAGATAAAATAATGTCGATTAAGAACATGAAAGTACGTTAAATTAATAGAAAAATTATAAGGTAAATTGCGTGAATCTGTCAAGTAGAATTTGATACAACCCGCAGCCAAGTGTAAATTAGATAAATAGTTATATTTATATAATATAAACGAATAAAATTTACAAAGGTTCAACGACTAGTAAGTGAGTATTATCAACAATATCTTACCAAGAAAACCTTACAACTTAATAATTAAGTTGATGATATAGTCTGATCCATTTTTAACGAAATGATTAAGGATAAAAAGCCTTTTTATAATATAAAATTTGTCCACGGATTCCACGTTATCGTAGGAACAATATTCTTAGCAGTAGGATTATGAAGAATATTAGCATACCACTTAACAGATCATCACCACCTCGGATACCCTAAAAATGTTATTTATTTATTTAACATAATGTTAAAAAGTATTTATTTTAAGTTAAGTTGTGCTTCGCATGTATTAAAAAACAATTTATCTCATTGCCCTATAACAGTATATACTATTAATCCGCTTAAAGGTAGTCTTAGTTATCTAGATTTAAGATTCAATACGCGCCAGTTAAGCTACGGGTGTTGCAAGACAGGCGGTGCAGTTAGAAGTTATTCTAGTAGTGCTGCAGCTGCTCAAGCTGCAGATGAATTAAAACTAGACCCTTACTTTGTTACTGGTTTAACCGAAGCTGAAGGTAGCTTTTCTATTGTTAAAAATCGTGATCCTAGAGCAAAATATGGTATGACCGTTTCGTTAAGATTTAAAATAACAATGTTAGTTAACGAGACAATATTACTTAAAAAAGTTCAGGCTTTTTTTGGGGTAGGTTCTATAAATATTGATGAAAAATATGGTACTATTGATTACCTTGTTAGAGATAAAATAAGTCTTAAGATAATTAAAAATCATTTTATCAAGTACCCTTTAAGAGGTTCTAAGTTTTTAGATTTTGAAGATTTTAAGCTAGCTTTAGAACTAATGGAACAAAACTTACATCGTACTGAAGAAGGATTAAATTTGTTAGTTAGCCTTTCTGATAATATGAATTCTTTACGTAAGGATTTCAGTAAAATGCCTCCTGCTCATACTATGAAAGATAGTTTAGAATTTATACCTATGAATGGTAATTATATTAACGGATTTATAGCTGGAGATGGTTGTTTATTTTTAAAAACCAAATCTAATTTTGGATCTATGGGTATACAAATTTCTCAGCATACTATTAATATAAGTATCTTAAGGGAAATCCTAGATTTTTTTAAATTGGATTCAAAAGTTTATAATCACAGTAAAGGAAAAAAATCTGTCCAAATAACTTTAGGAGGAAAAAAAACTTGAAAAGTACTCTCTAACCACTTTTCTATTTATATGCTACACGGATCAAAAACTTTACGTTTAACGAAAATGACTGCTATAGCTAAAATTATAGAAAGGGGAGAACATTTAAAGAGAGTAGGTAAAGTTGCTACTTGAAAACCTGAATATAAGGAAAGAATACTTAAGATCTGAAATGATGATTACGAGGTGTAATTAGATATTCTTAGACTTTAAGAGGATGTAATATGTAATATAGAGAGGGGTCACTCTTAGCGGCTTAATATTGAGTTGGAAGCTGCAGCTCAATTTGCTGCAGGTGGCAGAGGAGGAGGCGAGAATCTTTTGCTCTGCATAGCTCCAAATAAGCATTAAAGTATTATGTAGGAATCTAGCTCTAATAGTGTATAGTGTTACTGGTTATACATTTAACGAATGTTACTAAATAAATAAAAAAAAAACATGTCCTTTTTATAACTTATAAGTTATAAAAAAAAAAGAGGAAGAATTTCAGGAAAAACTATTTATTATTTTATGTCAAGGAGGAATTATCACATAAACTAAATTTTGTTAGCAGATCCGTGCTACTATAGCTTGCGCAAAAGGGATGGGATATTATTTTTTTTTTTAATAAAAAAAAAAGCCTCTTCCTTCAAGGCATCATAACAATAGTAAACTTGAAGCGGAGCTTATAACTAAGGGTTAAGATTACCCAACTTTAGCAATAAGAACGTTCAACGACTAGAAGTAATTAATTTAAAAATTATTGCTTCACAGAATCCTCCTTTACACTTAAATCTTATAGATATAATGGTTATTTATAAGAAAGGTCATTTAGACCTAAAGTTATCTGAAGATATAGTCTGAACCATATCGAAAGATGTGGATATTAAAATAAAAAACGACTTAAGACTATCTAGTTTTAAGTCTAAATTTATGTAACAAATTGATGAAGGAGGTATATTATACTGACATTTTGTCGACGTTGTATGATTATTCTTATACGTTTCAATGTATTACTGAGGATCTTAATATTTAATTAAATAGAGAAATTCTTCTCTAAACGGGTATAGGTTAATGGTAGACTTTCTGATTTCCACTCAGCGTGTGTCAGTTCAAATCTGACTACCCGTAAACTAGCTGTGTACACAGCTATATAATTTAATAAAAAAGCTTTATAGCAATTTGCTCCAATATATTTCCTAATCTTAGGTAATTCATCGCTTGCGTATAAATAAATATGAATCAATTAATCTCAGTCCAGGATACCTTAACTAGTGGATATACAGTGGAATTTCTAGATATACTAAGTGTAATAGCATTATTATTTAGTATAGCTGTTATAATAAATAAAAATCCGATAGCTTCATTATTATCTTTAATCGGTTTATTTGGGTCAATATCTGTGTATTTAATTTTATCAGGTTTAACATTTATAGGTTTTGCATACTTAATAGTATATATAGGGGCTGTATCTATTTTATTCTTATTCATATTGATGTTAATTAACATAAGAACAAGTGAATTACAAAGTAATAATGTAAATAGTATACCTTTAGCTTTATTTATCACAATATTATTTAATTATGCATTATTTCAATTATTACCTTACTATATAGCTATATTAAATAGTTATAATAGTAAATTAAGTAATATGTTATACTATTTACCTACAAGTAAATACAATGATATAATAATGAATACAAGTAAAAATCTAGATATCAACACAGATAATGTTATGTTTGTAACAAGTAACAATTGAGACGGTACAATTACAGAAACAAGTCATATATCAACAATAGGTAATATTTTATATACATCTTACAGTATGTGATTATTCCTTGTAAGTATAATTTTATTAGTAGTAATGGTAGGAGCTATCGTTATAACAATAAAACAGGATACTGTTAAACAATAGTAAATATAAGCTATAATAAAACCTTACCTCTATTTAGATTAGCAGGCTTAAGTCCTGGTTTTTTTCCTAGCTCTATGGGCGCTTCGCTAGTAAATTTATAGCTTGCGCATTTTATTAATGCGCAAGCTATAAAATAACTATAGCTTGCGCAATAAGCGAAGCTAGTTTTTACTACGAAGTATGCTTGCGGCCTAGCTTGCGCAGTAGTAAAAACTAGTGCGCAAGCTAGGCCAGAGGTAAAAGAGAAATTAGTTCAATTGGCAGAACGTTTGTTTTACACACAAAATGTTAAAGGTTCAAATCCTTTATTACTCAAAATTCCTTAACTTAACAGGTAAAGTGTATTCTTGATAAGGATATTATCAGTGTTCGATCCACTGAGGAATTATAAATATTATAGTATAAAGAGAATTGGCCGAGTGGTTTAAGGCGGTAAGTTTGAGTTTTACTGGGTTAGAAATAGCTACATCCGTTCGAATCGGATATTCTCTGTACTAGCTTGCTTTTAATGTGCGTGTAGCAGATTTTTTTTTTTGTTTGTATGCGCAAGCTCTTGCATACTTCTGGAGAAGCATAGCACAAAAAAACCAGGAGCTGCGCTGCTTCTTAGTTTATACTACGAAGTCCTGCAGCGAAAGGGCTCCTTTGGGATCAGGATAAGCGCTCCTACGAAGTCAGGGGTAGCATGCGCATAGCTTGCTCCTAAAAACGCAGCACAAAAATATGCAAGCTACATATCAAAGAGTGTAGTTTAATTGGAAAAATAGGAAGCTTCAACCTTCAAATTCTTGGTTCGAACCCAAGTACTCTTGATTTAAGATGAAATCTTTTATAAAAGATTTCATCTTAAATAAAATTTAGAAAAGGTACTCTTGATTTAAGATGAAATCTTTTATAAAAGATTTCATTTTATAAAAGATTTCATTTTAAATAAAATTTATAAAAGGTATTATAAATTTATAAAAGGTATTATAAATTTTTATTTCAATATTTTGTGAAATTTTAACTTCTAAGACAGTCTAGATAATACTAGACTAAAAAGCACTACAAGTGTTACGAGATTTTTTTTATTTAATACAAACAACAAATTTAATATGAACAACAACAATTTTAATATGAACAACAACAAGAAAAAATTAATCATGAGACTTTTTTTGGGAATAAAAAAAGGTCTTATTACTCCTACTTTACCTAATCACATTATCCAACTTAACAATAATCCATTTATTAGAATTTTTAGAGTACTAGGTGGAATAAATATTTTACTTATTTTAACACATAGACTAGATTATTTAGGTAATGGATTACTATATTTTTCTGTATTAGTTATTTGTACTGTTTTAGCTTTTTGTTTTAGTTTTTATCTTTTATATTTAACTTGACATAGAATTAAACACATGATTAAACTTCTTAAAAGTGATGAGTTGGATGTGAGAAATTCACCTTTGGATAAATTAGCTAGTAAAGTAGCTAGATTTATTTTATGTAGTAAAGGGTTATGTGAAGCTGCAGCACCAGTTGGTGTGGTCTTTGGAGGAATGGCAGGTATTGATGAACTTAGAAAAGCTAAAGGTTTAGAACCTATTTTTCTACCTAAAATAGCAGATCTTATTTTCGCAGATACTGATACTAGTAAAGAAATTAAAGAAATGCGTCGTCAGGAAGCTTCTTTAAAATCTAATGCCAATGAACTTAATGCATATAAACAGGAAAGTGATATTGTAGATTCATTTGAAAAAAATGGACTCATTAATAAAGATGAAGCTAAAACATGGAGAGATAAATTACAACGTAATGAATCTATATGTAAAAATGATAGTAAAGAAATTAAATCTAAGATCCTAGGGTGCTTAGATAAATTGAATGATGTACGTAAAAATAGATAATAATTATATGGTCATTAAGATTTTAAGTAATAAATTATTTTTCTTCTTAGTTTTAACTGCCTTTATTTTTTGTTTTTATATCCTTCGATCAGCAAGCTCGAGTAAATTTTTTTATTAAAAAAAAATAACTGATCCTAGTAAATTTTTTATAGCTTGCTAGTAAATTTTTTTTTTTTAGCGTGCTTCGCGAGTAAATTTTTATATATATGCGCAAGCTATAAAAAAAATAACGCAGCCGTAAGGGGTGGGGGGGAGGTAAAAGGCGCGCTTTAGTTTTAGTAAATGATACTTTATTTGTTGGACAGTAATAGGTATAATATGTTGTTTATTTGATTTCATATTATATCTTACTTTTTTTACACTACTGGGGATACGTCTCGCTTTTTTGTTTTACTTTTAGTTTTATTATTTTATGTATTTATCTAGTGTACTATTATCATTATATTATATTATATGCAACTAGTATTGTATTGTATTTTTTTTTTAGTTTATAATATGGCGTTTGAATGTGTTTTTGATTTAAATAATTTTTTATTTTTATTGAATTATTATCACTTAGTTGATATTAATTATTTATGTATACTTTCGATTACTATTTTAGGTGTTATACCTTTGGTTGCTTTTATGGCTGGTTCTAGAATTACAGGTAAAATTTTGGAAGTTGGTTCTAAAGTTGGTAGTTTAGTTGGTGGTGCTGCCGGTGTTGTAGCTGTTGTTCAGAATAGTGGGAATAAAGATGGTAATAGCGGAGGTAACACTGGTGGCGGCAAAACTGGTAATACTGGTGGTGACAAAGCTGGGAATAAAGCAGGTAATACTGGTGGTGACAAAGCTGGAAGTGACGGTGGTGGTAAAAAATAGTATTTAGCTTTATTTACTATTACTCACTTTTTTTTAAAAACCATAATAAGTTTTATTTATTATGATCGTCTAATATTAGACAATTAAGAGAAGTTCCTGACCACTTTTAGAAAGGTGATGTATAATTATATTTAGTATTGTTAATAAGAAAAATACTAGTTTATCTAGTATTGTTAATATAAAATATAATACTTCTTATATGGAATAAAGCTTAGAAACCTTTTAATTGTTTTTATTTATCAAGAGTATTTACAAAAAAAACCTGTAAAATCAGGCTGATGGTGTCGTATTTGTTTATATAATAAACCTCTTATCTTGTATTGTTTTTTATAGCTTAGTTGCTATGTTTCTTAATTTTACGGTTATTATTTTTATGTGCATTTCTTTATTTTTTTTAAGAATTACAAATTGCAAATATAAAGAGATCTAAAGCTATAAAATTAAAAAGAAGCTGGTAGCTAAGAAAGTAAAATTGAAAAAATTAGTCATGCTTAAATATATAATTTATTATTTTGGTTTAGAATTACCTGAAAATGTGTGCGCAAGCTATCCTTTAGTTGAGTTAGCTTTTAATTTTGGTATGATTTCTTTAGTTGTTTTGTTATGTTTTATTAATGTTTTTGGTTATTTAATTGCTTTATATTTTATACAAAATAAAAATTTGGAGAATAAATATCCTAAATTTAATGGGATTATTAATTACTTTAAGAAATCTTCTTTTGTGATGGTGATAATTGAGGGTTTAATAGGATTTTCAGCTCTTATTGTTTTAATTTACTTAGGTTTTTCTCCTTTGAGTGCGTTGTAGCGTTGCTGTGTTGTTCTGTAGCACAAAAGGTTGATAATCCTTCACAAGTATACTCTACGCTGTTTACTAACTTCGATTGTATACCAATAGGAGATGTGAAATATAGAATTTATCTAGTGCTATATATTTAATTGAAAACTAGTAATGTATTTTTGTTTGTTTATTTTATTATGTTTTATTTAAGGGTGGTAGCTCTTATTTTTATACTATGTTGATTTTAAACATATTAGATTGTTTTCTGTTAATCATTTTAAATGTTTTGATAATCTTTCTTATTATTTAGATGTTTTGATTTAGAATTATTAGAATATTTTGGAAAGACTTCTATACACGATATCGGTCAATTAGTTAAACGCTATCCTAATAGTTTTCATAGCTTTTGTATTCTTTAGGTAGGTAAGGTAGGTAGGTTAGGTAGGTAGGGTGGCCAAGGCAAAACTATGAATCTTGGTTTTAAATAACCTGATTATTATGGGTTTGTTGATGTTATGAATGATAAGTTATGTTTTGCTGATGTTAGGTTATTCTTTTTTAATTTATCAGGTTTAAATACTAATAGTATTAAACCTAGCGATTTAACTAATGATGATAGCTTGCGCATTAAGTTAAATAGTATTATTGATGTGTCTAGCTACTATGATGATTTAGTCGCTTGTTTATACTAGCTTGCGCATTAGTTTACTAGAAGTAAAAACTAATGCGTGATTTTTTTATAGCTTGCGCATATATAAAAAAATTTACTATAAATTTACTAGCGCACGGATGATTTTAAATTTTTATTTGATCGGTATAATATAATTTATAGCTGTTGTGTATCTAGTGCTATTTGTTTTAATATAAGTTAGTAGGCTTCGCCTACTAAAAGCTAAATTTTATAATGATTTAAACTATGCTATTTATAGTATTAATCATATTAAAAACAATAAAATTAATTAAAAATCTAATATTTATTTAGTTTATCATATTACTTTTGTAGCCTACGCTACTAATTTAGTAGCGCAAGCTACAAAATTAGATGTAATATATTGTTTATGTATACATTTGATTGTTAAATTCATAGCTTGCTAGCCATATCCCCCGGATCAGGCTACACATATTAAACTTAGGAATTTCTCTAGTGTTTTTAGGATTTTCATGTATTAAGGTAGGTAAAGCTACAAAAAAAAACTAGTATTGTATTGTATTGTATTAATATTGATTCATAAATGTTTAAATTTATGCTTCGCTTCTTAGTTTTTACTACACTAAGAAGTAAAAACTAGCTTCGCAAAAAAAAAATTATATAGGTGATGGTTTTTTGGGTATGATAATAGATATGGATTATCTTGCTTATATAAATAATCATGTTAGAGTTTATTCTTCTTTTAATAGAGATGATAATAAAAAGCTTATAAATTTTTCTAAAAAAAAAATATAAAAATTAAATACTTTGATTATGATGAAAGTTTTTATAATTTAGATTATTTATATGAGCAATTATCTCCATTTATAAAATACGGCGATAAATATGCTTTTCTGATGAAAATAAAAAGATCGGATAATACTTTTGGATGGGTGGTAAATGTATACCCGTTAACACTAAATTATTCGATTTGAAAAAAGATGGGTTAGATTATCTGCATAAAAAACTTATTAAACAACTTAATTATTTTATCGACTTCTATAAAGACGAGGATTTTTTATATATTTCTATTTTGTTTTTGTAGATGTAATCTATTTATAACTAATAATTTAAAGGTTGATAGCTTGCTATAGTAAATTTATAGCTTGCGCATTTTTATTAATGCTGATCCTTAGCAAGCTACCCTAGTAAATTTTTTTATATATGCGCAAGCTATAAAAAAATAACGCAGGGTTATTTCATAGCAAGCTAAGGATATAGCTATAAAATAACGCACATAACACAATTTAAGAGATATTGATAGAAATATAATTTTAGTCGTTTGTTTCGTTTCGTTTGGAAAGTTAAACCAGGAAGTTAAGTTTTGTAAGTTTTTTTGTTTTTTATGAGATAAGCTGGGAGAGTGTGGGTAGCTTGCGCATAGGGAGGTGGTATTTGTGCTTGCATATTTTCAAATGCTAAAAGTAAGCTAGAATGATACAAAAAAAAAGCTAGTTAAGCTAAAGCTTGCTTGATTTTCTAAAAAAAAAAATCGTAATTATAAACTTAAAATTGAATTTAAGGTTTTTATTGTATAATTAGATTCTTATTTTAGTTAATGGCTTAGATATATATTAAGGTGTAATTGTATATTTG